GGTTCCCCTCAAGATTTTAAACGAGCTGTTGGGGAGAGGTTTCCACACCCTTATAAAGAATGTTTCGTTCCCCTCTCCAACCGATATGAGATCTCACAATCCACCTCCTTGGGAGCCCAACGTCCTCGCTGGCACACCGCCCGGTGTCTGACTTTGATATCATTTGTAACAGTCCAAGCCCACCGCTAGCAAATATTGTCCTCTTTGAGTTTTCCCTTTCGGGCTTCCCCTCAAGGTTTTAAAACGCATCTGCTAGGGAGAGGTTTCCACATTACAAGGAACGTTTCGTTCCCCTCTCCAACCGATGTGAGATCTCACACTCTACCCCCTTTGGGGGCCCAGCGTTCTCGCTGACATACCGCCCGATGTCGGGCTCTGATACCATTCATAACAGCCCAAGCTCACTGCTAGCAAATATTGTCCTCTTTGGCTTTCCCTTTCGAGCTTCTATGCCCTTATAAGTAATGTTTCGTTCCCAGATCATTTAACAAACAAATGATGTATCACGTTGAAGAACTGGTGCAAGACTAATTGGAAAACATTTTAAATGTCATGCAAAACAGAATAGTAATAATCTATATAAACAGACACGATTTTCTTTTAAATCCTCAGGTCAGGTGTATAAATTAGGAACTAAATCATTCCGGTACTTCGTTTAATTTATATGAGAAAGAAAAGTAAAAGGCCCAATAACTTTGACGGAAGCTCATGGAAAGTATTACTCATTACGATAGATAGACAAAATGCAAGAAGGTAAAAGTTGCAATAGTTTATTTTCAAACCTCAAGATGATTGGCTCTTATGTATTCCCATATGCGTCTCAGAACCTCTGATTGGAGCATCTCCCTTCCATCAACACCAAAAAAACTTGCAAGAGCTTCAGATATAATCACAGAAGGACAAACACTAGGTTCTGCAGCTTTTACAGCAATTGCAGGTTCACTCTCCACTCGTGCCTTCTTCGAACTTGATGGTTCTGACAGGATTATAAAATAAACTGTTGATTTCTTCCAGAACCAAAGGGGCACAGAGGCATCAAACTGGATACTTACTTGTAGGTTCAAGAGAAATGATGTGCTTGGCTAGCAACTTATTCATTTTGAACATGTCAGTGCAGTCTGTTTCAAATACCAACCGCAACTCATCGTTGCATATTATTTTTCTTTTGTTACTCGGATCCTGTAGGTTATTTTTTCTGATGTATGCCCATAGCTGTTTCACTATCTGGATCAAGGCAAAAGCATCATATGAACCTCATATGTAATAAATAGAAAATCAAATAAGAAAGTGGTAAGAACCTCAGTTCTTGGCAATTCTGGTTGCCCAACAATCGTCTGAAGTTCAGGAGAAACGCCACAAAGCTTGTTTAGCCCGCCTGGGCCTCCTCTTCTCTTAGTCTTGGTCTGAGTGCTGCATTCGAGCGGTAAAGGTGAGTTTAATCAGCCAGAAGATACATATTCAGGTTATCAAAACAAGAGAACAAACAAAAATCCATGCTTACGGCTACCAGCTGATATGCAGATTCAACAGGATTACAAGCTCTAAGCCACATGGCTTGATTGCACAATAAAAGTAAGCCCAGATTGGAAAAGTTATAGCGATTTTTATAGAAAAGTGCACATACAATATAAAGATTCCTCACAAGTAGATGCCATATATCGATATCTATTTCCAGTAAACTGGGGCAGCTTCCATCCTCATCTAATTACCTTCCGTGCTGATGCACAAATCCAAAGTTACAAATTCCCATGAAAATTTTGTCTGTATATCTTCAATGGCTGTGCTGACCAGACTAGCAACTAGTTGTTCTAGGCTTTAAAGGAAACAAACAAAAAACAAATGAAAACTCAACGTGCTCGTATTAGATACCTATGAACACTCATTTGACAAGACATCATAACAGGCAATTTACTTTTTCAACAGCCAAGACAAAAGCAGAAAGTCACAGAAACTCTGAGTAATCTTCTGAACACAGAGATTAACTAAGCAGGGGCTCACCAACATTCAATGGAAACTTAACAATATCGAAACCCTCGAGAAAAACCAGTAATTAGTGCACTACACACTCCAAAACCCTCACAGCAAAGGTCAAAGCAAGTAAACAAACAATTTCAATACCTTCTGGCCCTATTTCTGAACTGCTGAAGTAGCGAATTTCACAAATAACTCCTACCCTTACTCGATTACACTAGAAAATCAACTACACTTCAAAATTGAAAGATATTCGCACAAACATGCACACCCAAAACGAAGTAAATCAAAAGTGAGGGGACTCAAAAAGAGCCAGAATTCTAAAATTTGAAGAACCCACCTCTCCTTCGGCGGGTCAGAACCGACAGCAGTGGAAGGAGCGGCGGCGGTTTCCGGCTTAGCCGGAGGAGGCTGAGCAGTGAAAGTATGAAAAGCAGAGGAAGTGGGGGAAGGAGCAGATGGGAAATTAGGGCTTTGATGGGGGGGAAGGATGTCTTTCTGCGAAGAAGGCGGTGGTTGCTGCTGTTGATGATGATGATTCTGATGAATTTGAGGCTGTTGAGGATGAGAGCGAAGGATTAGCTGAATCTGAGCATGGATGAAATCAACCTTATGAGACAAATCGAGGCCAAGCTTGGACTGCAACTCAAGAACAACAGCGTTGAGGGAAGAAAAAGGGTTAGGGTTTGAAGGAGAAGCGGAATCGCGTAAGAGACATTGTAAAGCTTCAGAAAGCTCTTGGTCTGAAACCATTTTAGCTTCTTGTAGCTGCTGCTGCTGCTGCTGCTGCTCAAAATTGGTTCATAAATTAACCGAAATTAACGGTCCCTTGCTTCCTCGGCTTCACTCTATCTCTCTCAAGAACTCTCTCTCTCTTTCTCTCTCAAGAACTCTCTCTCTTTCTCTCTCTTCTTCTTCTTCCTTTCTCTCTCTTTCTGTGTGTTCTGTGTAGAAACACAAGATGACAAAGCCGTCCATTTGGGAAGGTGGGTGTGTGTGCGGGTCACCAAATACACCAATCATTGCTTGCCACGTAGCCTCTCGTCTTCTCTATTTTTTCTTTTTTTTTTTTAATTTCTTTATTTACATTTATTCATCTTTTTTATTATCTTACACAGGTATATACGGACGTATTAATTATTAAATTATTTATTTAAAAATAATTATTAATATTGGTAAATAAACAAATTTAGAAATTAAATTAATTATTATAATAATATAAGATTTATAATTATATTTCATTTAATATAATTTATTATACTATATTAGATTTTTTAAATATAAGTTGGATTATGTTTAAATTATTTAATTTAAATTATTTATTTGAGAATAATTATTAATTCTTATTGCAAACTGGAATTTAAAGTACATAAATTAAAATTAAATTTAAATTATTTCAATAATGTAAAATAGTTAACAACATTTTATTATCTAAAATTAAATAACCCTAGTAAAATTGTTGAAAATATTTTATTTATAAGAAATTCCTATAACATTAAATAATATTTTCACCCTTTTTTTTTTTTTTATTATGACCTTGTTTTTCTAGAACTAGGTTAAATCTTATTCTTGAATGTTCCCGTATCTCGATGGACAGCCTGCAAACACTTACAGCAAACGGGGGAAAATGGTGAGTATAAAAACACTTCATAAACAGCCTACTTGAAGGCTCTCGTCGCATCCTTAACTTAGTAGGTATCCACGTGTTTTACTTTGAGCTCTAGGAAGTTCGAGCCTTGTCTTTACTGTTGTTTGAGCATCTGGTTCTCTAGCTGTTCATGGATTTGCTTTGAATTTGGAGGTGGTGGTTGACTAATTTTTTGTGTTGTGGGTTTATTGGGCGACAAATGTCATCTCTAAGGTGGACTGCCTTGTTTTTAGGGTGTCTAAGCGATTTAAATCTCATCTGTTATTTTCATAACACTCGGGTTTAACTCATCAAGGCTAATCCAATATCTAGGTGCGCTCAGGTCTAATCCTCTAATTTCCACGCACAATCCTAGGGTGCTCGGTCTATAGAAACGTACTGTAACGACTCAAGCCCACCGCTAGCAAATATTGTCCTCTTTGGGCTTTCCCTTTCGAGCTTTAAAACGTGCTAGGGGATGGTTTCCACACCCTTATAAAATGGTGTTTTCTTCTCCTCCCAACCAATGTGGGACATCACAATCCACCCCCTTTGGGGCCAGTGTTCTTACTGGCACGCCGCCTTGTATCTACCCCCCTTTCGGAAACAGCGGATGTAGGACCCCACTAAATCCACCCCCTTTGGGACAAGCGTCCTTACTGGCACACTATCACGTGTCTACCCCCCTTTGGGAAAGAGTGGGAAGGTTGGCACATTGTCCGGTGTCTGGCTCTGATACCATCTGTAACGCCCCAAGCCCACCGCTAACAGATATTGTCCACTTTGAGCTTTCTCTTTTAGCCTTCCTTTAAGACTTTAAAACGCGTTTGCTAGGGGAAGGTTTCCACATCCTTATAAATGGTGTTTTGTTCTCCTCCCCAACAAATGTGGAACATCACACGTACTAATCTAGATCAACGTGAAAATCGCTCAACTCTAGCCTTAATCTTAACTTGATTCATTCATGCATGCTTTGTTAGGGAGGTATTCTTATCGACCATCAAAAGCACGAAAAACATAATCTAAACATTCATTTGAACTCAACAAAGAGATAACATCTATCAATTACTCGAAGCACACATCACAATATTCCGTCCTCTTTTTTGATTAATCTAGAAAGCATAAAAAATAGACATGCAACTTAAATTTCCGTCCTAGGGGCATTTCAGTAATTTTTTCGTAACATACATAACATTCTAATCTCTAGTGAACGTCTCAATAGGATTCAAACCCATATGAAGTTTTAACCATCAGAGAAAAAAGAAGAATGAATCTGGTAAAATTCTCGATAAATTCTACGATGATCGTTTTTAGATCAGGTGAGAGTTCAAATTTAGAGAGTTTTTTTTTTTTTTTTTTGTAAATATTATTTGTTATTGACCTACCACATGACTTCAGTCACTCGTTATTTCGTTTGCAGTTTTCCCCCAAAAATGCCGTTCTCTTCTTCTCCACCGGTTCCGTCGCCCACTGGTTTTCACCTGCATTAATTGTCGCCGGCGATTCTACGACGGCTACCGGGGTCCGATGGTTCTTTTACTACTGAATGATGGCTTCAACTGTGGATTCTGCCGGCCTTAGGTTTCCGTTCACGGGTTCCTATTTTCGCTGCTAACTTCTCTGAAATGTTTGAATAGTTTATTGTGTGGATTGTGTCTCTGCCAAAGACCATACAGGTACCTTTTCGTCTCTCTCAATTACCTACCTACCTACCTACCTTCAGAGTTTTCTTTCATTTCAAGAACTCGTGATTATTATAGTTTGAGAGAAAACGAATATCCTCTGGGATTAAAGAGGAGATTCTCAAGCATGGTTTTTATTGCAGCTCATTCAATTTAGTGGTTAAGTGGCAGGACTGGAACAAAATATAGTAATGGCGTCTTCGGAAGACGAGGCGGAGGCCTTGCCACTGTGTGTTTCAAATTATCACTTCGTGGATCATAAGGAAGAACCTGTTTCATTCTCCATTTTGCCGATTATGTGGGATGAAGTGGACAGATTGGATGGCGGCCAAGAACCTGTTTTCCTGCATGGAACAGCTGATGATGGACTTCAAAAGGTTTATAAACAGGTAACTGCATGGAGGTTTGATATTTGTGGTGCAAATCCAGAGATATCGGTGCTTTCCAAAGAAAACGTGTGGATTAAGCTTCAGAAGCCTAGAAAGAGCTTTGAGGATACCATTAGAACCATCTTGATTACAGTACAATGCCTTCATGTTTTAAAGAAAGATCCGGACACACCTAGCAAATCTTTGTGGGATCAATTAGCCAAAATCTTCAGGTAATATGAAGCCGTTTAATCTTTCAGTTGGATGAATTTGTATTTGTCAATTTTAAGCTATTCATTTTCGCAGCTTGTATGAGGTGAGGCCTTCACAAAATGATTTGGTGGATCACATGTCTCTAATCAGTGAAACTGTCGAAAGGGATGATCAATTGGCGAAGTCCCAGGTTCTGTTTAATTTTTATGCAGGCAATGATCTGATGTTTGTTTATTTGTTTTGTTGGATAAGAATTTTGTATGGGTGTGAAGAAGAAACAAAAGGGTGGGGGAGGGATTATTTGATACATTCCCAAGTCCCAAATCCCCGCTGCCAAAAAAAAAAAAAAAAAATGAAAAACTTGCTAAAATAATTTTTAATAGTTGGAGAAAAATTCATTCGTGATAGACAGCAGACATGCTATATTTTACTCGATCCATTCCGAAGTTCTATGATATATTCATTTCCATCCTCAAAATATTTTTTATTTTCTCTTTTTAAAAATTTCCTTCAGAACTCGTAGAGTTTCGTTTATCAAAGAAATTTTACCTTTCATAGAAGACAATTGCTCCACAATCTGAACCAATTTTTTCTCCTGTAAGTCAAGGTTCAGACTTTTTAATCAAAAAAATAGGGAGAGGATAGAATGAAATTGATTGAAGCAGGCCGCCCCGAATGCTCAGCTAAAATGTCAAACGAAAAGTCTAATAGGAGCACGATACAATTTCACTTCACGCCGTCGATAGGAAAGCTCTGTTACCCACCAACGACGGCCCCTTCTCTTTACCTTTGCTTGTTCCGGAAAATCTCTTATCCCCTAGAGGTCGTAGAGAGTTCCTTGAGTTTAGTTGCTTTCGTGCCCTGAATAGTGAAACCCTCGTTCAAGAGAGAGAAGTCAGAACGTAGATTTTGAAATCCTCAATTTCAGAGGGAACTATGGTGGTTCCTTGTTGGAATGCAAGTAGTGAAAGTACACTTGGTCAATCTCCTTGTAGTCAGCTTGCAAGCACACATGCCTATTTGGGTGAAGCAGCAAAGTAGGATAGTTGTTTCCATCACCTCTCACAAGCATTGATTTCATGGTGTTGAAGAGTCCAAACACTCCAAAAACTCCTAACAAGATTTCTTTTGGGATTTTAGATTACTTCAAAATCTTGCAAAGTTTATTAGAAGGAACAATGTTTGCCTTGTTGAGGTACTTGAAAGGAATGTAACGAATGTTTACCGTTGAGGCACTTAAAAGAAATGAACAAAGGAAAAGTAGTAATTAACAAACGAGAAATCTGATTTTACAATTTTCTTTCTTCTAGTGTATGCACAGCTAATCCCTATACTGTGAAATTGAATTAGTTCTCCTGAGAATGAATCTTAACCACTTGTTAATTCTAGAGATAGAAATGAGGAATATTAATATGCATAGCATGCATGTTTTATTATTTGAAATCATTTCATAAGTAGTATAGGTAGAATAATTATTTTAATGGCATGACTTCGTCATTTTGTTTGAATGAAAAACAATTTCATAGATGATATAAAATTACAGATGAGGGGGAGGAAAGCCATGCCCCACACCGAAGGAGATTGCAAGAAAATCTTCCAATTGGCTGTAACTGTAACTGAATGAATACATAATTGTTGAAACGAGAAACATTGTTCAAGAGAGCCACAAAAGTAAGGGCGTGTAAGAAATGATCAATGGATTGCCCTTTGTTGTTGACATTGAATTTCCAATCTTTTAGACTCGTGCTTAAAGGGTAGGGGAGATAGCCTTGGGGTTTGCTCCATTGTTGCAATTTGTATGGAGTTATTTTTGGAAAGAAATATTAAAATTTTTAAGGGACAGGAGAATTATTTTGGAGAACCTATGAATTAGGATTTCTTTTAGCATTATTGGTATCTTCAATCAACATATCTTAGAGAACCCAAAAGATTTCATTTGACAACCTTTTCTAAAGATTCCATTTGATGGGTTTGACTTTTGGGTTCCATCATTCCTCCGTACCCTCACTGTATTATGTACTTTTTGGCTCAATATAAATGGAAATGTCTGAAAATGTTATACATGACAGTGATGGCAAAATAATATTATACCCTTCGAAGTGGATGACTTGATCTGTATGCATGTAGGGCTCTCTTGATCTTGTTCGATTCTATCTACCTTTTCTTTGACAGTTTTTTTTGCATTCTTTTTGTGCTTATTCATGAGTCATTATGGAAAGGACATACAGTAAGAATCACCGGAGGTTCAATCTCACCTAGATTTATGACTTTTGTCATTATTATATATATATATATATATATATATTTTTTTTTTAAATTATGAACTTCTGCCAGTTGCATTATTTCCCTTTTGATCCATACATTTCTTGATTTATGTTAGAATATATTGTAGGTTAACAGCAGTTAAACAGTGGTATGAGTCAGTTTTGCTTTATGGCTTGAGCTATGTTTTAATAGAATTTATTTTTAATGAATTATATAATCTTCTTACCATGATGATTTATGATCTGAACAGTTCTTACTTGCATTCCTTGAAGAGAAGCCCATTAAGAAAAGGTCATGTCACGAGGTATTGCATCATTGCTGTCAAGTGCATGCCTGCAAGGTCCTTGTTTTCTCATCTTCTGCTTGTACTTTCAGGATGTTCAATGTACAGCGAGGCCTAGTTTTATAGTTGATGATTTAGATGATGAGGACATGGTTGATGATGCTATTGAAGAGGAGAGTGATGATGACGTTTTTGACTCCGTCTGTGCATTTTGTGATAATGGTGGTAACCTTCTATGGTATGCATTTCTGTTATTCTTTGTCGTGAGATTAACATTTTGGTTGATCTTTTAATTATGTGCTAACCAACATTGGGCAAGTGGTCAATGGAACATGTAGAAAACGTAAAAGGGACTATGGGGAATAGGTTTAAACTTCAGTGGTGCTATTACTAAAATATTCAAATCCTTCAAATCTTTGACAACCAAAGGTTGTACGACAGATGGTTGTCATAAGAGATAAGTTGAAGTGCACGTAGATTGACTCGAACACTCAAAGGATGTCAAATGAAATTAAAACTTATGAAACATAATTTTGAAATCTATGTTATGTTTTGTGGATTTCCCAGGCATTCATTAATTGGTCATCATTCTTACACTTGTTATGTATCATTCATTCAATAGCTATAGTTGTACTATTCATTGCTCATCCTCATCACTGTTGGATAGTTCTTTGCCACCTTCACCATATTCTTAAAAACAGAAAGAACTGAATTTAGACACCAGATGGAATTGTGTAAATCAAAATGCTTCCATAATTATTTCCACAACAAGCCATCAAAAGTGTTAAGTGCAATTAATTACACCAGGTAGCAGCAATGGGCTTCAATTGATTTACCACAAGGTCAGAAGCCTATTTGTGAAAGTCTTGATGTGCACAAAATTCCTTGACAATGTGGCCAAGTTTGTCACCTCTCATTTTGATCTATGGCTGGGAACATTTTGTCGTTCCTCCAAGGGCCTTTGGTAACTCATCATCAAACGAAGTGACCTTTGCTGAAGAGAATCAAGGTGAAAGTCTGTGGTGGGCTCATGATCACTACCAAGTTTTAGGAATAATTTTGGATTGGCTTGGCCCCTTTAGCAAAAGGCTACCAGAGGCTTCATTTCTTAACCTACCAAAATCATCATCTATTATAGATTATCGGTGGGACTTCACAACCTTTAACCTGTGACATTGGTTTATGAGGACTTTTTTGGGGATACCAAGATACAAAAGTGGGCTTCCTTCTCCCATTCACACTCCTCCTTTTACTGCCTGATTATAGATGACAAATGGCATTGGTTATTGAAACTGAGTGGCTTCTTTTCCCAATTCTTAACTCCTATGATTTCTCTTTGGTTTCTTTATTACTTGTATGCCTCTCGTGGTCACTTCCAAGCCAAAACAACCATTCCTAGATCTACATAAGGTGGAACATTGAAGGTGCACAATAGGTAACATAAATGAACAAATTGGTTTTGTATTTGAGTTGTTGAGAGCCAGAGCTGTGACTACGACAAAACAAGTAGATTTATACATAAAAATTTTGCCCTCTTCTTGAGACTACGATTAAATTAATAGGTAAATATTTTTTCAGGCTTCCAATCAAACACCCATGAACAACCAAAGCCTTGCAGCAAAGAAGCCCAAATATTTCCACGGACGGGGAGTGGAAAAATAGTTTATCCTCCCTTGTATTTAGGCAAAACATGCAGCAGCTTAGAAAGTTCAAAATTGACATTTTCGTTGAACTTTATCTACCGAGTGGCCAAGAAGCGAAACCAAGATAAAATGTTCATCTTTCTTGGATTCTTTGACTTCTGTAAACTACACAAATTTTCGGAGGAAAAGTTGCTGCAACTGATTGTGACGAGTGATTTTACTGTGAAATCCAGAACTGTCCAATTTCTGGAGAGAACTTTTGTAACTTTCCTTTTCTTTGAATATGTGAACCACCTAGCTTTCTTCCTTCCATACTCATGGATTACCATTCATATGATAGGATTACTGGATAATTAGATATCTTAGTTAATTCCTTAGTTGATTAGGATTATGATTAGGTTGTTTGGTCAATTCATTAGTTAATTAGGGTTTGAATTTGTTTGTTTTCCATTTCTCTATTTTACAGATAATTTCCTCTTGTATTGTTAACATTTGTTTGGTAATAAATATTGTTTTATAGACTTCTTGAGAAATCTTCTTAGTCACTTAGACAACACCAATTTGGTATTGGAGTGACCATCTGGGCCAACGTAGGCTTGCTCTCTGTGGAAAGCTTTTGTTTACACAGATCACAAGGAGCTTTGTGGGCTGTGCTTGTTACTCGACAACACACTTATTTACTAAGGGGATACCTTTTAGAGTACCCTTTTTTCGGATTAGAGAGGAAATTTCAATAATTTTTGCGAAAGAATGGAATTTTATAGGACACAAGAAGGAAATTCAACGCTAGAAAATCTTCTTTCAGATTTGAATCACGGCCAATGGAGGAGACCAATTGGATCAATTTACAACAAATCAAGTACTTGACAAGGCAAAATTTTGGATAATATAAAGAACGTTAAAAAAAAGCCAAGAAATCACTTGGAGTCGTGAAATTGCACGACTGATATGGTAGGATTAGTGGTTAATTAGATATCATAGTTAATTAGGATTAGGTTTAGACTGTTTGGTTAATTTCTTGGTTTATTAGGATTAACATTCGTTTGTTTTCCAATATTCTATAATTAGGATTAGGTTTAGACTGTTTGATTTGTTTCTGGAAATCATAGTTCAATGGAATTACTGTTTTTATTTTTATTTATTGTTTAATTTAATAATGAGAAATGGACATTTCACGGAGAGAACATGAAGGAATATAAAAAGGCAGCTCAACTAAATAAGTCAGACCCTATACAGGAAAGGCTGCTAGTTTTAAATAATTAGATCTGATGGATAACTACAAGCTGTTGAAAATTGATGCCCAAGTTGAAGCATTAAGCCTAACAAGTGATTTTCATTTTGATTGGTCATGCAGCTGTGATGGGAGGTGCATGAGGTCCTTTCATGCAACTGAAGAGAATGATGATGAATGTTTGTCACTTGGTCTCTCGAAAGAAGAAGTAGATGTATGCAATATTATATTATTTTTGTTCTATATGCTTGCCTACTCTCTTTGATAATTTTCTTTAATAGATACAAACTTTTTTTGCAGGCAATTGAAAACTATTTTTGCAAGAATTGCGAGTATAAACAGCACCAATGTTATGCTTGCGGGAATTTAGGTTCATCTGATAAAGCTTCTGGTGCTGAGGTATGGGCTTAATAATGTATACTGAATTGATGTGTTGGATTTGTTGACTTCTTTTTTTACCAGAATCAAAATTTTACATCAACAAAATGAAAAGAGACTATTGCTTAAAGGTACAAACTCCATGGAGGAGCGGAAAAAAAAAAATAGTAAAAAAGACGATTAAAAAACAAGTACAATGCAGAGAAATTTTAAATGAGGAATATGAGTTACAAGGACTGTCGTTTTTTTTCTTTCTAGCTCGCTAATGATCATGTCCTCTTGATATTGATTTCTTCTTTGATTCTAAGGACTGTCGTTTTTTTCTTTCTGTTCTTGCATGGATTTAGAATCTTCGTTATTTTAATTTTGATTTATCTATTTCATTGTTAGTTATGCCAATATCCCATGGCTCCCCTTTTTGGTTCACATAATTTTAGGCAATTGTCTGTCTTTGATCATTACCTAATATGATTTATCATCACTTTTCAGGTATTCCAATGTGTAAATGCAACTTGTGGTCATTTTTATCATCCTAAATGTGTTTCAAAATTGCTTCATCGTGAAAATAAAATTGCTGCTGAGGAACTTGAGAGGAAGATTGCTTCTGGAGAATCTTTTTCTTGCCCTGTGCATAAGTGTTCTGTTTGTGAACTTGGTGAAAATAAGAAAGTACACGAATTACAGTTTGCTGTTTGCCGTCGTTGCCCAAAATCCTATCACAGAAAATGCTTACCAAGGTATCATTTGTATTTCTGTATGGTGAATTGAGTTTTTTTTTTTTAGTTCTGCTGCTCAAGTAGTTGAGGCACGCGTGGCTTTTTCAGGAAGATCACTTTTGAAGATTCAGACGATGATGAAACCACAACCAGGGCATGGGAAGGGCTATTACCTAATCGCATATTGATATATTGCTTGTAAGAGTGCAGTGATAGCTGTTACTACTATTGATTTAATCAGTATTAGCCTGTTAATGTTTTTTTTTTCTTTTAATTTGTCCAGAGACCATGATATCGATGAGGACATTGGGACACCAGACAGGGACCATATTAAATTCCCTGGACTTGAAAAGAGTAAAATTCCCATCCAGCAAAAGAAAATTCCTACAGTTGATACAAGAAAAGGGAAAACAATAGATTTTCGTGGGATTAGGGAAAGAGTTGTATCAAAAAAGGAAAATATGTCAGATGACCATTTTCAGGGAAAATCTGTTGCAAAAGTATCGAAATCATTTGAAAGGTCCTCATCTGAAGGGAAGGTTCTTAGCAAAGAAGCTGAGAAATCATTGTTGGGCTCTGAGTCTAGAAAAGTGAAATTAGGTAATGTTTCAAGAAAGTCTTTGAATCAAAATACAGAATCTGTCCGCATGGACATTGATAAGACTATCAAAGGGAAAAAATCCTCAGTTGTAAAGGCTGCCGCATCAACCAAGAGGTCTGATCAAAATAAGGCTTCCAAGGAGGATAACAGTGAACTGGGCAAGTCTGACGCCTCTAAGCCTCTGACAAAGAAGTTGAACAGTGGGATGGTTCAATTAGATGCCGATACGGAGAGGAGGTGGCGAACGCATACTACTTAACAATTGGTTTCTGTTTCATTTTTAAAATAAAAAAGGGATAAAGGAATTATGACAGTTCTAAACTCCCATGAATTGCATGTTTACATTTTTTTATAGAACTGACCTGTTCTAAATATCTTTACTTGTGATGTAGGCTAATGGATTTAATGAAAAATGTTGCATCTTCAATTACTTTAGAGGACGTAGTTCAGAAACACAAAGTACCATCTACTCATGCATACTCTTTAAAAAATGTTGTGGACAAGACAATTAAGATGGGGAAGTTGGAAGGTTCAGTTGAGGTACAGAATCATTAGTCTGATATAGTACACTTAAAGTGATCTTGTAGTTTCTTACCCTTGAATGGTCTACTGTTTTGGTTGTTAGGCTGTTCGAGCTGCTTTACGCAAGCTTGAGGAAGGATGTAGCATTGAGGAAGCAGAAGCTGTTTGTGAGCCTGAAGTTCTTTATCACATATTTAAGTGGAAGGTGCTAACAATTTCTTATTGCACCGTTCAAAATCACTTTTTCTTTAGGTTTTAATTTTTCTGCATCTTTGACCAATTATTTGAGGAAGCGTAATCTTTCACTGACTATTATTTTGGGTGCTTGAATTCCTGAACTATTTTGTGCTTATATATTATACCGAGACCTTGCATACTAAGGTTTTATTGATGTTTTGAAAAGGACAGAACTTTTCACTGTAAACGTGAAAAGTCACCGGTAAAATATAGAACCTCCCTTTGGGAGTGATAGGGCAAGATCCCATGGTCGTGATAATTTCCTATGGCCTTTTATTAAGACATCTGGCGTCTTTTAATATGAGGATAAGCTTAGGCGTTGGACTAACTTTGATTTGCTGTGTTTCGAGTGGTATCCCTATTTAGGGCTCTGTGCATGGTTTGTAATAATATTGAGAAGCTTATGCGCAATTTCCTTAGGGAAGGGGTGGAAGAAGGAAAAGGATCGCACTTGGTTTGATGGGTGGTCATTGAGATACCAGTTTACTCGGGTAGGTTGTTTTTAGGCTTGAGAGAAGGGATGTTCGAGTGTGATGAAGGGTTTTTCTTGCAAATCCTTTTTTCTGTAGTTTGTTGACTTCCCCCTTGCGTGAGTTGATTTTTTCTACTCTATGGAGGATTAAGATTCTAAGGAAAATGAAGTTCTTTACACGACAAGTTTACATGACCAAGCCAATACTATGAATCAACTTGTGCGATAAATTCCCTCATTAGTTGACCCATTTTGTTGTATTCTCTATTTAAAAGCGGAGGAAAGCCTAGATCACATTTTTTGAAATCGCATCTTCTGACGTTTTACCTTTTGCCAGCTCAACACAAGAACACTAGTGATATGATTGATGAGTTACCCCTCTATTTGACTTTTCATGAAATAGAGTCATTTCTTATGGGCTTGCTTGGGGGTGTGCTATTTTGTGAGGTGAGCGGAATGACAGAATGTTAGAGGGTTAGAGAGGGAACCTATTGATGTATGGTCCATCGTTAGATTTCATGATTCTTTTCGAATTATTCTTTAGACACCATTTTGTATAGTTGGAGCCCTTTTCTTTAATTGAGCTTTCTTTTGTGCGCTCTCATATTCTCTCATTTTTTTTTTTTCAATGAGCTTGGTTAGTCAGTATTAAAAAAATGGGATACGATATGTTAGCATGTGTTGAATTCTTTGTTTCCTTCAGATAACTAATTCTTGGTTGTAATGAGATACTATTTAACTTTTATTTATTTTATGAATTCCTTTACTGTAGAACAAACTGAGAGTATATCTTGCACCGTTTCTTTATGGCATGCGCTACTCCTCCTTTGGTCGTCATTTTACGAAAGTTGAGAAACTTCAGGAGGTAATACTTATTTTGGTGCTAAGTTTTTCTTTGGCAAACATTTACTTCGGTAATTTTATCTTCAACTGTGGAAGCATGGTCGTGATACTTATTATACTTGTTATATTGTGTGCTCAAGGAACATATTAGGTAATAACCGATTCTGATTCTTCCAATCTTTCATTATTTAGTTGATTTTTCTCAAAAACAAAACTTTGTGACTTCCTCGTTGAAATAGATTGTGATAGCGAAAATGCTTTCAACGCTGCTCGACGCCCTTTGCTTTTCCAAATATTTTTCCGAATCCGTTTTTTTGATATAGAAGTGCGCTTTTTTGGAACTGCCATTAAAAAATTAGAATTGATTATTCATTACTATAATTGGATGTGAAAGACATCTAGTGTTCAAAAGGAATTGTTCTTTACTATTTATTATCCATTTTTTCTATAAATTATAGTATAATAAGATAGACCTGGCCGCAAAATAACAGCAATCCGTTGTTGAAGCCTGATTGTGTACTGCACACTTGGACTCCTGACGACAAGAAACATATGATGGCACACAAACTAGAATTAAGCAGTACGACCTAATTGGATATGCGAGATGGTCTTACCCTCTAAATTTAACCTCCCATGAAAATCAGAGTTATGGGGCATGCTTATTTCTTTGCTGTTATGTGGGGTATTTGACTTGAAAAAGAATCGTACAATTTTTAGAGGGTTCAGAGATCTTAGGAGGTGCTAGATTTAAAGCTTCTTTATGGCATCCTTTTATGAGACTTTCTTAATTATCAACCTGGTTTCATTCTTTTGGATTGGAGTCCATTTTTATAGTTAGTTTTGGGATTCCGTTTGTAGACTTGTTTTTTTGCATACACTTGTAGATGCCTTCATTTATTTAAAGCTCAGTTTCTAATAGAAAAGAATATCCAAAGACAGGAAAAACTGCCTCTGTCTCTGTCCCTATCTCTGTCTCTGTCTCTGTCTCTGTCTCTCTTATATACGGTTCATTATATAAACACAGAACAGACTTACAGGTAAACATAATATAAAATAACATTCCCCTAAGAACCTGAAAGGTCCTAAGCACATAAAGCCACGTGTCCTACCTTCTACCTGCCCTGATAGTTTCTTCAGCTGGGAGACATGTTGAAAATTTGGAAAATATTAGATCCCTTGGAAATCTGCAGCGATAGGCAACCTGTCCCACATGGACGCCTTGGATGGCCATGAAATTGACTGTTTTATGGCTATAACCCAAATTCAAGCTCCATCTCTTGCTTATGTTTGTCCGCTAGAATCTTCATACTTCGTTTGGAGAATTATGAGTGGCAGTGTGACCTTATTGCCACAATACTATAAGATTCAACATTTAGTTGGTCTGATCACTTGTAATTTGTTGGGCCGTTCTCCACTAAACTCAAAGTTCATCCAAAACAACGTACCTTGGGATAGCTGATGAAAATAAGAGACAAATAGGATGATGTACTCAAAACCAGAGGTTGAGGAGGTTGCCCATTCAACAGTTACAGAGACTTTACCTAAGTAGAGGTATGGTATGAAGTACACTTAGGCCCAGAAAATCAATCCAATCCACGTTGTTGACTTGTCTTCTACAAGACCGAAAAGATGGGTAAGACAGCAGTTTACCATTTTTCTTTGACCATCCCTTGCAACCACGGCATTTCTTCTTTGATGAATGCTTGAGCCACCACCATAGCCGTAAATGGGTGTTTATGAATCATACTTCATTAATTGGTCTATGACCTCCAGTATGGGATCCATGCTTTTTCGCCCACCTTTTCTTTTGGTAGCTCAATTGTAAAATTTCATTCCACCTCCCTCTTTTACCCTGTATTTCTGGAATATGGTAATCCTTCAATCAAATTCATGGAGATATTGGACCATGGTAGTTTTGGTATTAGTTAAATTTTTTTTTTCTTCTACAAGAAACAATTTTGATCACATGTAAAATTAACAAAAAGGGTGTAAATTCCATGACAACTACCAAAGACTTTTTCAGTTGGTTAAAGAGAGCATAACTATATGAAGCAAAGAGGTTAGACAATTTACGCCACAAAATATCATAATAAATAATAAGGTCGAAGAACACTTCAAAAGTGTTGTTCCAAAAAGACTCTTTGGTTTCTTTCCTTCCGAAGGACCAACAAATATTAACCTTCGGTATAGGGTACAATGGCTACAACAAATACAAGCCTGGAGACGTTGTGCATAGTTCTTTCTTATTGTGTCGGCAGATGGGGCACTTGGATTCAAATTCTTTGACTCCCTTTGTCATGCATTCCCAATCCATGTCTCTTGCTAACAGTTTATCTGTTTTTAGTTCCTGTTGGATGTCTTTCCACAAATTTTAAGTGGTGTTCTTGCCACAACATTTTAATAATATGGAACTTTTTGGCAAATTTACCTTTGAAAGGGCTAACACAATCAGCATGATAGCTTTTTATACGTGAAAGAAGATGTGGATTTCTTTTGGTTCAGTTGTATACAGAGGTATGTGTATGTATACATATATTTTGGCATAAGAGAATTTCATTGATGCATGAAATATTTCAAGAAAACAACCTTACAATAAAGGGCTTTTGCTGAGTCATATATATTGAGAGAGATTAATGACAAAACGTAGACCTAACGCAGCAAGGAAAAAAAGGCTATTACTTCTGAAGGCTGATTAAATATTCTGAAGGTGCATTTGAAGATTCTTTGGTTGCTTTCAATCTACAAGGACAAAGAGTTACTGATCCAAAAGACTTGGCTTCATTCGTAAGCCCATGAACGCACAGGCATGATTCTTTGACAAACTGGGCATTGTGAGATAAAGATCAATTTTACCCAGCTGCTCGCACCGGAAACTTTTGGCAACAGAATATTGAAAGTTTTTTAAAAACCGACAACATTGGTCTTAAAAAAGTAGGCATAAGTAGCTCAAATTGGATTATTGGGAAACAGAGAACTGCTCTTTTGCACCTTATCATTTGTGTTGGTACTCAGTACCTATTAAATAAGTTTGAGTACTACCTACTTCTAGGGAAGTTGGTGCTTTATGATATCAATTGTACAATCCTGTTGTTTTGTTATCTTCTAATAACTTTGAACACCAAGAGACAATACAAGAACGTTTTCCCCCCTGCTTTCAAGGAATTTTTTGGGAAGGTATACATTAGCGTTTCTTATGTGTGATAGCAGAAGGAATTTGTTAATTGGCAGTCAGATGTTTTGTCTGTTCAGCGCTATTGTATTTTTTTTTTTCCTAATTTGCTTTTCTTCTTTTAGTTTTTATGTATTTCTCTCGTTCTCTTTAATCTTTTTCCTTCTGTGGAGTCCTTGTAAACACTAAAAATATTTTCTATGATTCAGATTGTCGATAGGCTTCATTGGTATATACAGAAAGGCGATACAGTAAGTCTATTATGCTCATTTGTATATTATTTAATATGTAGGAATACAATGTATTATTGCTTTTTTCTTCGTACAATATTTTCTTTACATCATTACGATGCTGTATGTTACCCTAAATAGTTTTTAGATGTATAGTGTATAGAGAACTCTATAATCTGACAAAACGTGTGAGGTTGAATAGAAAATTATCTATATATGATACTTATTCCATTCACTAGAATCTCACATTCACACACACACACACATATATATATACAAATATATATACATGTACATATGTATTGAATATATGTATATATGTATGTACCTATGTATCTATGTATATAGATGTACATGAAAATTTTAAATTAAAGAGCGATATTGGACAAATAACAGTTGATATGTCTATATTACTTAACACACAGACTGTCATCACTTTGTTTCCTGATTCGACATTGAAACTATGAGAGCATCCTCCACTTTTACTCTTTTTGAGATTACCTCAATGAAAGGCTAGAATAACTTTTGTTGGGGGGCTTTTTGTTATTATTTTTCAGATTGCAAGGATTTGTTGCTTTCAGTTTGGGGCTATATAGTTTTTCTTTCAAAGAAAGTTTTAGCTTGTAATTTTTCAATTATAACTGAATGACTGTGTTTTTGTTTTAAAAATAAAAACTAATTTGTATTGAAATTTCAGGTTTATGTATAATAGGCTCATGAACTTAAAATAGTATCTTTATCCCCGGACCTTCAATCCTATGTCTAATCAGCCTTTGAATTTTAAAAGTGCAAAATAGACCCCAAACTTTCTAGTCTTTGTCTACTAGGTTTGTGATCTTTTAAAAAAAAAATGATAAAATAGGTTTAAGACCTATTAAACCCAAAATTGAAAGTTGGAGGACCTAATAGACACAATTTTGAAATAGTTCAATGAAAAAACAAAACAATCACTTTTGTTCCCAACTTTTTGCAAATTTTGAAATTGTCCTATTTTTGTTTCTAGGATTTCATAAAAAATTGTAAATTGTTCTTGCATTATCACAACAATTTCAGATTGCACCCAAGGGAAATTTTAAGCCGCCAACTTTCAAATTCGATATCATGCTTGATATATGTCACTTAAAACACAAGTATGCTTGAAACATAAGTATGCAAGGTATAGGTAATTTTGTTGTCAAACCAATACAAAACTTAAGGTATAGGAAACTACTGACTGTAAGAAGGTGTGGCTGGCACTAATAGTTTGGATTTGCTCTACACTTCTTTTATATTGAGCTCGTACCCAACTTTTCTTAATTTCTCAACATCTTCCAGCCTTGTAGGGGATGTTTGTGACACCAAAGGGATAACGTCTCCCAAATTGATGTTGGACACTTTAAATACTGGTGGCATCGTTTGTTTGTCTCACAAAATGATCAGAGATTTCTTTTTGGGTTCTAGTAATGTTTGTCGTAGATCTTTATTTTACCACCCACCTGGGTTCCTGCCAATTTTCTGATCGCATCATGTTAATGTTTCTGTTTCATTTTTATTTTTTGTCATAATTGACTCTTGCTGCATACTAAAGTTTTTCCCATAAACAGATAGTGGATTTCTGCTGCGGTGCTAATGATTTTAGCATTTTAATGAAGAAAAAACTTGATGAGACGGGTAAACCATGCTCGTATAGAAACTTTGACTTTATTCCACCGAAGGTATGCCAACCCAAACTTTTACATTTTAAGTATGTTGAAGTCATATCTGTTGTCAACTTTATTAAGCTGTATGGATACAACATGGCGTTATTTTAATGCTGATTTGGATGTGTTCTTAGGGAAAAAGGGGAAAAGGATGTCACAAAATTATTAAAATGAACATTATGTTGCTTTATGGATAATGTGCGTTGATTTTACTTTATCAAGGCATTTACTCATACTCTCACGATTGCCAGTTATTTGTTTACTATTGACTTTGGAACTCTTTTGCTCAATGAGATTGCTTCTTTTAGCATCTGTTATGAGACTTTCGCGCGTTTCTTTTCATCTCAGTGGCCTGGACCTTTATTTCTACATTTTATGAAGTTTGTTGTGCATCTTGATTGCCGGATATTGTTCATGGCTATTCTTGCAGAATGTTTTCAATTTTGAGAGAAGGGATTGGATGACTGTGCAACCCAAGGAATTGCCTAAAGGATCTCAGTTGGTGAGAACAATTTCCCTCGTGTTTGCTTTTTGAAGATATGTTTAAAGAAGTTTTTTAAGTAAATTTTATAAATATAAAATGTCAATGGATGAATTAATTTATTTTCATTAGTAAGCATGGGAGATCTTAATAATCTTTAATTCAAGTGAGATATTAACTACTTTTGACTTATCAAGTATACACAGGGATGATTTTCTTTGTATGTAGTTTTAATTGACTTTTAAAATATTACATTCCTACAAGATTATTTGGTTTGTACTTCATCATTCAAATTAAATAAAAAGGTTGGTGACATATGTAAATCAGTAATATTTTGTTTGATGTCAATGCGTAACTAATAGAACATTGATTTATATATGATGGCATATATGTTTGGATCTCTGTGGCTTATAATAAAATGTAGCTGACTGCCTCCCTTGTGTACCACGCAAGAGTAGATCATGGGGCTAAATCCTCCATTTGGAGTTAAAGCTGCTTTGGCAAACAAGTTCGTTGATAAGGCTCTAGAGTTTAAGCCAAAGCTCGTTATTCTTATTGTTCCTCCTGAAACCGAGAGGTAATGGTGGTCGGTTTCTCCTCGGCATATCTTAGCACTTCCTTAGATGTTGTATGGAGACAAAGCACTTGATGACATTTTCGATGACTCGTATTATATTTTCTACTGTAGGTTGGATAAAAAAAAGACTCCTTATGACCTGGTTTGGGAGGATAATGAGTTTTTGTCAGGAAAGGTATTGCAATTAGCAAGATCCTGTTGCAGTTTTTTGTAAATGTTATTGAAAGAGGACTCTGATTCCATTTTTTCCTTCTCAGTCATTTTATCTTCCTGGATCTGTCAATGCAAAAGATAAACAGATGGATCAGTGGAATGTCAGGCCACCTGTGCTCTATTTGTGGAGTCGTCGTGACTGGGCCGATAAACACAAAGCCATAGCACAAGAGCACGACCATCTCCGTCCCCGGAAACAAGAGGAATCAGAAAAAGAGAAGACTTCTGATACCTCAAGGGTGAGGCAACCAGAGGAATCAGAAAAGGGAAAGAGTTCTGATTTGTCTAGGCTAAGGCAAAAAGAGGATTCAGGAATGGGATTAGGATCTGAAACCTCAAGGCCAAATCAATCGGAGTCGGAAAAGGGCCGAAGCTCTAAAACTTCTGATGATCATATTCATCTCAATGATACATTCCTGTTGGAATCTGTAATGCCAGCAGATGAACCAGAAGATTCCAAGAGTGGATCAGTCTCCTGTGACGTTCATAAAAACGGGTCTGTGAAAGGATCAAAGAGGGATAACGACAGAGAGAGTCATGACAGTCGAGACCGCCGCACTAATCTGTCTCCTGAGGCTCCAAGAAAGAGGCAGCGTTTTGAAGAAATACCTAGAAGAGGTGATGGTGAGACATCAGAAGAGAGCCGACGTGATGGTAAAAGGCCTTCTCCAAATGTGAGTGATCGTAGATCCTCGTTGGCTGGTTTATTGTCCAGTTCTGAGGTGGGAGGGATTGGACATCAGCAGTCGGGGTCGACTAAGCCTGGTTTCGATGCTAACTTCCAAGCTGCTAATGATGCAGCAGCACGAACTAGCATAATTAACGACGTTGCTCGATATGCTGCTGTGGGAGGAATTGGACATCAGCAGTCGGGGTCGACTATGCCTGGCCAGAATGCTAACTTCCAAGCTGCTAATGAAGCAGCACGAACTAGCACAACTAACGACATTGCTCGATATGCTGCTGTGGGAGGGATTGGACATCAGCAGTTGGGGTCGACTATGCCTGGCCAGAATGCCAACTTCAGAGCTGCTTATGATGCAGCACGGACCAGCTCGACGGATGCCATTGCGAGAAAGTACAACCAGGAGCCTCATCCAATTGGGACAAGTGGATGGTCAAACAATGCAAGCCTCAGTTCCGAAATTGGGTCTAGACAATTCGAGGACCGTATCATCGATCAAATGGGACGACATGCTGATGGCCTTAATTATGCACCCTACACTACAGGGCACAACGCATACATGAGGGACTTGGAAATACGATCACAACTTCGTCGTTACGGGCATATGGATACCGACAATTTAAGAAGCAATTATCAAGCTGGACCTGAATCTGGGTATAACAACAGGATTGGGTCATTCCCACCTACTTATGGGCATCTGGGTACGCCCTCTGAACCATCTCACTGGATGAACACTTCAGCGACGCAACGATACATGCCTCGACTGGATGAGTTGAACCACACCAGATTGGCAGGAATGGGTGCTGGGCATCAGATGAATGGCAGTGGCACTATCGACCCGAGATCTCACCTGCCCCCTGGTTTCAGGGGTGCGCCACAGGGGTTCGCTTCTGGTCCTCAGTACCCATATTCAAACCAGAATTCAGCTGGCTGGCTTAACGAGTAGGCTGCACCCGCACCCGCACCTGCACCCGCGCCCTACTCTAAATCTTGCTTCACCTTACAGCAACTGTAATGCATTTTTTGGCCAAGAAACTATTACTGGATGGATGCTGTACATGACCGTGTATTAACTACAATATAATTATAAATACTAATAACTAAAATTTCTAACTTATTTTGCAGTCTATAAACAATTTAATTATGGATATTTAAGGAATTGATTTTAAATTGGGTCAGCTCAGTTGTTCTAACGAGACCCATATTTAACCTTGGAAGATTAATGGTGGCGAAAATGGAAAATATGGTTATTAATTGTAATTGTACAATGTAGGTGGAAATATAATATTAATTAAAATGTTAATCATTTACCTTAAAAAATGATTATGAAAAAAAAAGAGAGAGAGATATGAGTAACATAATAAATATAGTGTGAGAAAGGTAAATTTGTAAAAATAAGAAAATGAATTCTAAACTCGTAAATTTAATAGATATTGTTCGATTTGACGTCTTCTATTTGCTCTTATAGAGTTCACAATCCAATCCAACACTATATTTTGAATTTTCTTTTTCTAATTATTTTTTAAAAAACTATACTTATTCACGTATATACTATTAACTAAAATCTCATAAAATTCAAATTTCAAGCATTCATAAAAAGCATTCATAAATCATAATATACCATTAACGTAAAATTCAATTAATTTAATCTAATTAAACATAGACGTGCGTTCATTTATATAATTAAATATTTCCTATAAAAAAAAAAAACTAAATAGTTTATTGGATCTCAAGGATTCGATATTGACAGATACAACTCATAAATGCATTAAAAAAAAATAATATTGCCCTATCCCTATAGAATTAAATAAAATAATTAAATAAAATAAAATTTTAAAAATTTAATTTACAAAAATATTTTATCGATAAACATGGTTTTATCTGTATCGGTTTGATCTCCTCCATCTTCCTCGCAACGAAAATGGCAGATGGCCATTCAACCCTACCACCGACCTCCGCCGCCGGAAACCTAATGGACGGCGAACTCTCCAGCCTCCTCCAGGTATGGTCCATTGCCATTGCTCTCATTTGCTATTCTTACTATGTAGCTTCCAAAATCCCTAAGGGACTTCCCCGGCTCCTCTCTCTCTTCCCCGTCCTCTTCGTCTTCCTCCTCCTTCCTCTGAATCTCCACTCCTTCCATTTCGGCGGTCCGACTGCCTTCTTCCTCGCTTGGCTCGGCAACTTCAAACTCCTCCTCTTCGCCTTCGATCTCGGTCCTCTCACCTACTTGCCGCTCCCAAGCCTCCTCCACTTCGCCGCCGTGCTCTGCCTTCCGATCAAGATCAAGAAGCAAAAACATCCTGAAGAATCTATGAATCGAAGAATCGTAGAGCCGATTGTTCTTTCCGTCAAGGTTTTGCTTCTAGCGATTATCATTCGGCTTTACAGTTACCGAAATCGTATGAATCCAGCGATGATTTTCGTTCTTTACTGTCTCCATATGTACATCGGCATCGAAATCGTTCTCGCTCTGTGTTCACTTCCAGCGAGAGCGATGATTGGAGTGCCGATCGAACCGCAGTTCAACAAGCCGTATCTCTCCACGTCGCTTCAGGATTTCTGGAGCCGTCGATGGAATCTCATGGTTCCAAGTATTCTACGCCCGGCCGTATACGATCCCACCCGTTCCGTTACTTCCCGCATTTTCCGGCCCAAGTGGGCCCAATTTCTGGCCATGGTGGTTACGTTTGCTGTCTCTGGCTTTATGCACGAGTTGATGTATTATTACTTCACACGTGTCGCTCCCACATGGGAAGTCACGTGGTTCTTTGTCCTGCACGGCGTGTGCACTGCGGCGGAGTTGGCGGCGAAGGCTGCGGTGGCGGGCCGGAAAATGCGATGGCGGGTTCCCCGGGTGGTGTCCGGGCCGATGACGGTGGGGTTCCTGATAGCGACGGCGAGGTGGCTGATGTTCCCTCAGCTGATTCGAAATGGCGTTGTCGAGAGCACAATCGGCGAGTATTACGTTCTGGTCAACTTTGTTAAAGACAAATTTGTTTGAATAATTTTAGAAAAAAAAATAAAAAAATTAATTGTTTTCTTTTTGTTTAATGTTTTCAATTTTAATGATGTAATTAATCAATTAAGTGTAAACTTATGACGTAATTAATCAATTATGTTTTTGGTTTTTTTAAAAAATTAGTTGCTCGTTAATAATTTTTATTTCAACATTTTATTTGTTGATCGTGATCACCTTCTCAAGTCACGATAACGATCTAAACGAGGTATGTCTTTATCTAATATGCCAATTTTGACAATCTCATAATCATAACGACTAGCAAAATCGAATAATTATCAAAAGTTTGTAATATTTATTTTATCACAAAATGATTTAATATTAATTTAGACTTTCTCTATTCTTTCTTTATTATTATTTTTATTTGGTAGCTATTAAATCATAAATTTGTTCTTAGAAATTGAAATTTTAAATAAAAATATATATTATTTAATTAAATTTATAAATATAAATTATTTCTCATAAAGAATCTCACAAAATTAAATGGATAATTTACATGTTTAAAAGGATTACAAGTTTAAATTTTTAAAAAATATTTTCAATATTAAGTAAAAATATTAAAAAGAAAAAACGAAAATAGAAACCCACAAACGAGCATTAATCAATTAGAAGATTTGACATCCGTTAATGTTATATTTTGTTGATATATCTGTATAATTGAAATCTCGATGTCGATATTTATCATAAAATAAAATAAATTTAGAGTGGGATCTTAGCACATTTTAGAGTTTTTTTTTTATTTAAAAATTTAATGATATTTTTACGACAAATATGACATTTTTATTAATTTATCTTAAGTTTAATAATAAATTTTGAAATAAAATTTTAATTTAGTATTTTCAAATTATTTTTTAGCACCAATGGTAGCTAGCTACTAATGGGTATTATTAATTAATTTATAAACTCTTTTTTAGATTATAAATTTTATATAATTTACATTATTATTATTATGTTATACAAAAATTAAATAAGTTTATAAAATGAAATATTTTATTTATAAAAAACTATATTTTGTTTTTCAATGTAATTCGATAATTTCTATGAAAGGAAAAAAAAGTAAATAACTTTCATTTCACATACCCCGCCGCCGCCTTACATTCCCCAATAATTGCGGCCACCGCACCGGTCTTCAACAGCGGCGGAAAGAACAACCACGCGGCGGTGATCACCACAAACGCCAACGTCAACGGCCCGGCAACCGCCCAATGAAGCCGCCAATTTTCTCCCAACACCATCTTCACCCAAAATTCCACCACCACACAAACCCCATGAAGCACAAAAAACCCAGTAACCTCCCAAGTCGGAACCGCTCCGGTGACATAGTAAAACAGCAGCTCATGCATCAGCCCCGACACCACAAACGTCGCAAACACCGCCACAACCGCCGCCCGTCGCCGCCCCAACACGCCGCTCACGGCGGCCCTAACCGGCAAAAATACAGACCATCTTAAAGTATTCGAAACCAACAAATTCCATCTCCTCCCCCAAAAATCCCGGAGCGACGTCGCCAAATACGGCTCGTTCGACGGCGGTTCGAGCTCGATTCCAAAACCCCATCTCACAAACGTATTACAAAGACCCAAAATAACATCAATAAAAAAATACAGAGACACACAGTAAAAACAGAGCATAGCATTCGGGGACAGATTTTGGGCGAAATCATCGCCGGCGACCAAGACGGCGAAGAGAAACCCCTTCGCCGGCAGATTGAGCCGCAATTTGGGGGAATCGATGGTCTTCAACAATGGATCCGTGGGTTTTTGAGGATTTTGAGGATCTGGGTCGGGCTGATTTTGCTTGATTCTGATCGGGAAACAAGAGATTGAGACAAACAGAGGGAATGACAATGGTGGGTCGGAAAATAGAGGGCCGGAATCGAAGCAGAACAGAAGGAGCTTGAAGGAGGCGAGCCAGGTGATGAAGAAGGCGACGATTCCGGCGAGGAGGAGGGAGGAGAGAGGGAGAGGGAGGAGGGTGTAGAGAGAGAGGATTGGTAGGAGAGAGAGAAGCCTTGGGAGACCTTTGGGGAGCTTTGAGGAGATGAAGTAGGAGTAGAGTAAAGAGGCAAGAACGGCGGCGGAGATTTTGAGTAAGGTGTAGAGATCCGCCATGGGAGCGATTTTGGAGCTTTGATTTTGTTACGAGGGATTCATTGGGGGAGGAAAGTGCTGTTAAGATGTTGAATTTTAACATTTCCATAAATGTTCACCCCTCCTTTCAAGATTCTACCAAATTTTCGATATAATTACGAACGCATATATCTTGACTTGCATTTAAAACGACGAGTTTAGACTAGTTCAAGTGTAATTTAGCGACTCTAGCTTAACCTACTCAGGTAAGTGACTTTAATATTGGTGTGGTCGGATAAACGGAATGATCTACAAATGGCAACCCCTCTACATGACAACAATAAAAAAAATTTGTTTGAGATTGAATGAACATGACATGGAAAGCAAGAAAAATATACACACTCATGTGGTGCTTCCTGTCACGATCATGCTCGTCTAGAGCGTGTTGCCTACAGCTGCATGTCTATGCCATGTCAAACCTCCTACTTAATTTCATGTTGTATTGACTTCTTCTTATTACTATTGTTATTCTTGTTATTATTATTATTATTTTATTATTATTATTATTATTATTATTATTATTATTATTATTATTATTATTATTATTATTATTATTATTATTGGTATTATTATTATTATTATTATTATTATTATTATTATTATTATTGTTGTTGTTATTTTATTCTTATTATTATTATTGGTGTTATTATTATTATTATTTTATTCTTATTAATGTTAGGGGTGTTATTATTATTATTATTATTATTTTTTGTACCACTGCTTGGTGAAGTCATGTCTAGGCCGACTAGACGTGGGGTGTGACTAGTTGTCAACTCCTCGACCGAAAATTACTATAGAGAGATGCGATTGATTGTCAAATTCTCCCTACAAAAAAGTTATATGTTACTTAAGCGATTGTGTTGCATTTTGCTTATAGTTATATTCTCTCGTTCTTATTTTCAAACTCTCGTTCGAAAATCTCTCAGTCCCCACTTTCTAAAATCATCTTCTCAAACACTGAGTATTTAT